GGGGTGGTGGTATGCAGGTGTGGGGGTGGTGGTATGCAGGTGTGGGGGGGTGGTGGTATGCAGGTGTGGGTGTGGAGGGAGGGGGTGGTGGTCTGCAGGTGTGTGGGTGTGCTGGCCGGCAACACCCGCAGCGGCGTGTATCAGATCTTTCCATACAGGTAAGACCCCTCACTTTACCTCCCCAAATGAAGGTCTTCTGTACCCTACTCCTCCTCACCTCACCACCTCACCTCACAGCCTCCCAGACATGTCATTCCTCCTCTTCTCCCATCTCTACAGACTGTTGATTAACCCATTAGATATTTTCTACTCAGTCTTATTCATGTCTTAGGTTTCTCGACAACAGACGGCCACATCTGAAGTTTCTGGCTCTCTTTACCAATCCTCCCAGGTGTTGTGTTTCTATATTCATTATACTGCCTCACTCTCTACCTTCCCAAGGCTTTATTACCTTCAATTTTGTCGTGTAATTTTTATCATTGTCTCCTTTCCCCGAATTATATTATAATAACAAATATTCATTTTCTTAATGCATAAATTTTGTGTTGTTCTCATTTTTTTAATGTTAAGATTTTTGTGTAATGTGCAGGAATTCACATAAAGGTTATACAACAATGCGTTACAGTGAGTTCCTGTCCCCCAGGTGCAGGAGGCAGGACGAGGGCGTGCAGGTGTGGTGTGAGCTGGAAGATGAGGAAGGAGGGTGGACCGTGGTACTGGCCCGCCGCCCACTGGACCAACAGGTCAACTTCAACCGAGGCTGGAGAGACTACCGTGAAGGCTTCGGTGACCCAGACACAGAGTACTGGATTGGTAAGTGCTGTTGCCCGTTGAGTGGCTGGCCCTACACCCAACACGTCATTATTTTAAACAATGCTGAGTGGCTGGTGTCAGGGTTGACATCTAAAAATTCTGGTTCCATTTGAAAACTGAGCAAAAAGTCTATGTATAATATGTTTTACTACGAAATCAAACATTTTCCTTATACTGTACATCTGTGAAAGTTCCTTCTAGGGTGTGTGTTGGAGTAACGCTGGTGTGTGTGTGTGTGTGTGTGTTGACAGGTAACGCTGCGCTCCATGACCTGACGTACAGGTGGCCGCAGGTGCTGAAGGTGGATCTGGGTGACTGGGACGGTGAGAGTCGTTCAGCCAGATACCAAACGTTTCTGGTTGATGACGAGGACAGGCGGTTCAGCCTCCACCTGGGCCAGTACTCAGGTGACGCCGGGGATGGCTTTAGTCACCATAACAACATGCCCTTCACCACCTCCGACAGAGATAACGATAATCAAGGTGAGTTTTTACCGTAACTAAAGTAACCTAAATTATTTTAACACAACCTTTCTAATATAGCCTAAGCAACTTAACCACAGCTACCTAACCTAACAGATGCCTAGCTAACCGAAACTTAACCAAGTTACCCTAACCTTAGCAAATTTGTTTCACATGTCATTAAAAGCGGGTGTAGTATCATATTCGCTATCCTCCGTGATACCGATAGATTAGATCACTATCCTCTAACTACCGTCCAATCACTTTAGTTAGGCAGATTGGGGGAATATATCAAGGAATTGTGGGTTTAATGATAAAAGCATGAAATTTAGCACTACTTATAGGAGGGCAGGGTAAATATTTTGGGCTGTACAGGGTAAGGCCATCTCAGATCTGCCCTATGAATGCTGTGGCAGCCATTTTTATTAGCGATTATTATTAAATTCATTTCCCTACATATAAACATAGATTCGATAACAGTTTGGATTCAGAATACAGGTAACCAGTATCAATACATCCTATTTATTTTGGAAGATAATAAACATCTTGTATGAGGTGATGAGTCAGTTTTTCATCATATAAAATTAAATTGTTGTGCTTTAAAAATTGCAAATATTTTCAAATACAAAAAAAAATAGCATTAACATTTGTTTTTAACACCATTCACCATAAACTTGGAACAGCATTCACCACAAATTTGTAAAAACATTCAATTTAATCAACAGAATTCAACATTAAACTGAAACAAACATCTCTCATCGGTTCGAATCCTCAGAGGCGACTGGAATGCCTTATCACAAATTATAATCATCGGGTGAGGCAGACCGGCCCATTAAATGACTTGCGCTAAGCCCTGGTTCAGAATGTGGAACCTATTCCCACCTCACTCATACGGGAAAAAGCGAGATAATTTTAAGAAAAATCATTATTGTTGTGTTATTAGATTAACTATGCATACAGCAAAAAATAAGATGACTAACAATTCAGCATAAATCAGCTAACAATCAAATATTGGGACAGCTCGGCTGCAATGTGTCAACTTATGTTATAGAAAATACAGAATTAATTAAATTAGATGTTGAATAAGTGAAAACCTCCAATAATCAATATTAATAATTTTGTAATACTGTACAAGATTGACCCATTCACGGTCACATAGGCCTCCACACAGGCAAAGAGCAGTACACTGTAGAGCAGCCTTCACAGAAGTTAAACTTGGGTTATGGCCAATATTGTCTATGACTGCAGTAGTGAAGAGTCCTCATTTAAGCTTAAGAGGGTACACAGCTTTCTCTATCTCAAAATATCGGCAGATGTCATTTCCCAAATGTGTGGATATGCTTCGCATTCTATTATAAGAGAAGCATAATCCCAGCTTAAACAGGGCATTTCTACTAATTCTCTCTTGCGAGTTTTAGTATGAATCAGTAAACCTAAATAGACAGGAAGAGGTGTTTCCCTTTTCTGTCCGTGTCTGTGTGTGCTGGAGTTACCTTCTCGACAGTGTACAAAACAGTTGAACATCAGTAACTGCGCCAGTGTCATTGTTCCTTGAGTAACTTGATTGGGTTTTGATGTTAGCACCATATAAGATCATAGAAACCAAAGCCATCAGGAAGTTTGGAACTGATGATTCTTGGCATTGGCTGTCGAAGGTACCAGTGAATAAGGTCTTCATCTTGAACATGTCTCGACTAACAGAGCTGGCAGCCCATGCAAGCTGAACGGCATCATGTCATCATCAGGGTCACATGCCTTTCTCAGTGCTGGTCCAACAACCTCATTAAAAACCATCAGTCTGCCTGACTAGTTTAACATCAATTGTAGGCAAATTGGTAGTATCAAAAAATTTCGAACTCTATTCTAAATCACTTAGAGAAGCACAAGTTGATTAATGATTCCCAACATGGCTTCACAAGTTGGCGTTCATGTCTGACAAGTCTATTTACATAGTCCCCCACAAGAGACTTATACGAAAAGTGGAGGCTCATGGAATTGGAGGAGATATTCTAAAATGGATTAGGGCGTGGTTACACGACAGGAAACGGCGAGAAAGCATTAACAGCACTAAATTCGATTGGGGTAACGCCACTAATGGAATCCACCAAGGCTCCGTAAATGGATCATTGTTATTTATTATATACACTACAGAAACGAAATAGATATAGGCTTAGACAGCAATATAAGCAAATTTACTGACGACACTAAAATAAGGCGTGTAATTAAATCTGACGAGGACTCCGCAAAACTACCAGACCTAAAAAAAAAATCGCAAGGTCTGAAAAATGGCAGGCGAAATTCAATGTAGACAAATGTAAAGAAATTACTCTAGGAGAGGTAAACACAGAAACCAGATATCAGATGAACAACGTTATTATAGACAAATCCGACTGTGAGAAGACTTAGACGTAATGATAAGTAGGAATCTTAAACCAAGACAACAATGTGTATTTGCTCGAAACAAAGCGAACAAAATACTTGGGTTCATACAAAGGAGTGTTAGTTAAAAGATTAGCGAGGTTATCCTGAAACTATATCTTGCCCTTGTGAAACTTCCCTTGGATTATGCGATTCAGTTCTCATCACCGTACAACAGAATGGATATAGAATCCCAAGAGAAGAATTCAGAGGAGAATAACAAGACTAATCCCGGGCATTAGAAAATATGATCGAGGTGTATAAATGGAAGTCAGGGTTAAACAAAGGTGATATAACAAAGGTACTCAAACTATCCAACAAGGTGCGAACTCGTAGCAATGGTTTCAGATTAGATAAATTTAGATTTAGACGCGAGATAGGTAAACAGTGGATAAGAGTAACAAGTTACCAAACATCATCATTTACTCGAATACGCTGGATAGCTTTAAATATAGGTTGGATGAATATATGACTGATAAGGGTTGGGTGTAAACGGTTCTGCCTAACCAAATATAACCTAGACAACTTAAAAAATGCTTAAATTATTTGGTGTAAATTTTTTTTACAAGTATTTAAAGTGACCGGTGTTAATGTGGCTTCTTACCCTAGTGTCCACAGTAAGTTCCTTTATCTTTTCTTCTTCTTTTCAAGATAAACAGAGTCTTCCAACAATGTGATATACTGTACTTAATACAGTCTCTACTTGTACTTTTACCATATTTTGGTAAAGAATATTTTATATAAACCACATTCTGTGTGTGTGTGTGTGTGTGTGTGTGTGTGTGTGTACAGCTTTAAAGGTAGAGAGATGACATTTGTTAAGGAGGTGTGGAATTGGCCGAGTGATTCAACTAATTGTTACCCCTTATGTACTAAGGGACTCTCGGTGCTGAATAAAATCGTCTATCATTAGTCCCTCCACAAAAAAAAAATAGAATACAATTAAATTAATGTGACGTCTAGTAATACGATGGTCAGTAAAGCCGGATACGATATGCTTACAGGAACGAGCAACTGCGCAGTAGACTACCATGGAGGATTTTGGTACAACAATTGTCATGCTGTGAGCCCCACCAGCCTGTTACTGGAGAAACAGAAGAGTACAAGAGGGATTAACTGGAACACGTGGTACCCTGACAGAACCACACTCAAGAACGCCACCTTCATGATCAAGCCTAAATCTTGTTCTTAATAATGATGCGAGAAAAAGAAATGTGTTTCACGAATAATAGCGAACGGGTGATGATCTCTGCATTTTATTTTTGTTATTATTACATTCTATTATTATTATTATTATTATTATTATTTCTCAAGTACATTATAATTCATCTGGCTTCGTAACTCAAAGAATTCTATAGTTTGAATTAACTAGACAAAGCTAAATCCCAGTGAGAAAGAATAAAAATCTTCATTGTGAATAATACATGTAGTTATATATAAAATATTATACAATACTATATAAACACAGGAGGACAATTTCAAAACATATCTTTTTCGAAAACCCAAACAAGTGATTTATATAGAGTACCAAGAATAATATATAATGATAATGTTAATATATAATGTACAATGGTAATTATAATATAAACAAAATGTTAATAGCATTATTATTAACCTAACCTAATTTAGTGTAAGTTTGGTTATGTTAAGACAGTAAACGCCGTCTTATATGACACAAAACAAATGTTACCAGATGTGAACCAATTTAAACCCAGTAATAACAATACACACAAAAGATGATGATCCCTATTAGGAAAATCCTCATTTAAAGGTTTAATGGGTAGTGTCCCTCGAGCTTATGTCACCTGAAGATTAACCACCCTGATGCGAGCCTAAATTAACTAAACCAAATTACCTAACCTAACCTAACCCAGCGCTGCACAACGAGGCCCGTGTTTGATACAGGACAAACCGAAATAAGACTAATACTGTTAAACATAAAACCTCTTTCTTTAGGCCTAACACCTAATACCTTATACAGTACGTTATATTTATTACGTATTACCGATTACTTGATTCTTAATATATAATGCAGTAATTAAATCAGATACGGCAGTGTGTGTGTGTGTGTGTGTGTGTGTGTGTGTGTTAACCTCCTCTCTCACACACACATCAACATAGCTTTATCGCCTTAAGACACGCACAAAGCTTTAGTTGCTTAAGCTGTGATACATCTTAGTCTCACATTATTCCTAACTTTATTTCAAGATATTTATATATATAAAACAAAGAAGTATGTCTGTGTGTTTGTGTGTGTGTTTGTGTGTGTGTTTGTGTGTTCGCACGAGAATTTCGGAAACTACTTTACCGATCTGTAGTGATGATGGATGGTGTTATATGTAGTGATGATGGATGTTATATGTAGTGATGATGGATGGTATATGATGGATGGTGTTATATGTATGATGGATGGTGTTATATGTAGTGATGATGGATGGTGTATATGTAGTGATGATGGATGGTGTTATATGTAGTGATGATGGATGTGTTATATGTATGATGTAGTGATGATGGATGGTGTTATATGTAGTGATGATGGATGGTGTTATATGTAGTGATGATGGATGGTGTTATATGTAGTGATGATGGATGGTGTTATATGTAGTGATGGTGGATGTGATGTAGTGTTAGTGTAGTGATGATGGATGGTGTTATATGTAGTGATGATGGATGGTGTTATATGTAGTGATATTGGATGATGTTATATGTAGTGATGGTGGATGTGTTATATGTAGTGATGATGGATGGTGTTATATGTAGTGATGATGGATGGTGTAATATGTAGTGATGATGGATGGTGTTATATGTAGTGATGGTGGATGTTGTTATATGTAGTGTTGATGGGTGGTGTGATATTTAGTGATGATGGATGGTGTTATATGTAGTGATGATGGATGGTGTTATATGTAGTGATGATGGATGGTGTTATATTATAGTGATGATGGATGGTGTTATATGTAGTGATGGTGGATGTTGTTATATGTAGTGTTGATGGGTGGTGTGATATTTAGTGATGATGGATGGTGTTATATGTAGTGATGATGGATGGTGTTATATGTAGTGATATTGGATGATGTTATATGTAGTGATGGTGGATGATGTTATATGTAGTGATGATGGATGTTGTTATATGTAGTGATGATGGGTGGTGTTATATGTAGTGATGATGGATGGTGTTATATGTAGTGATGATGGATGATGTTATATGTAGTGATGATGAATGGTGTTATATGTAGTGATGATTAGACAATAAAATAATAACAGTTTAATGCTAAAAAAATATACTTTGCTGTACCGTTGTAGCGAAAAACTTGATGGAACTTACATACACCGTTAATGAGCTTTTGATGGAAGAAGAAGTTTTGGTTTCTGGACAGTGAGACAATGTGGAGCCTCCCGAAGGGTGGCGTCCTACCGTGGGCTAGCGGATGAGCCGCCCGGAACGAACAGCGGACAGTCGGTTACAGGAAACAGATCAGGAAAGGGAATCCCGTCTTAATGCTAACAGAAAGCGAACAGTGGACAGTCGGTCACAGGAAACAGATTAGGAAAGGGAATCCCGTCTTAATGCTCAGAGAGAGCGAACAGCGGACAGTCGGTCACAGGAAACAGATCAGGAAAGGGAATCCCGTCTTAACGCTCAGAGAGAGTGATCAGCAGACAGACGGTCACAGGATATAGATCAGGAAAGGGAATCCCGTCTTAATACTGACAGATAGCAAACAGCAGAAAGGCGTTCTCTAGAAAATGATCAAGCGCATGAAATTCGTTTGAATGCTAATAGACAGAGAGCTGCAGGATCCAGAATTCTAAGAAAGAATACACAGTGGCGTCCACTTGCAAGAGTAGCATTTAACTATGACAATGAGATAGAATATGAAAAGTATCCCTCTGTTGTCATTGGCAACATGGATAAGAAATGTGAACACTGCGTTGCAAAGAAATATAAAGGAGAATCTGCTGGACTGTGCTGCTCTCATGGGAAAATACGACTGCCAAATTTGGAAAAACCACCACAACCGTTGAAGACTCTCATGCTGGGAACAACACCACACAGCAAGACAACATCAGTGACTTATTTACCAGACGATTAACAGCTTAATTAGGACGTATGCAACATTTTCAGACTGGGAAACGATCTATAATTATTTTCAATTTAATAACTGATATTTCATTTCATAATTCGCCTCCAGAAAAAGTCACCAGAGTAAACGTTCTGACCTCACTAGGGGAAAGGTCACGGCAGGGTTTGCAACCGAGGGATAATTATCAGATATGGCCAGTGCTATGTGTGGTCTGGGGTCTGTGAGTTTGTTGGCCAAGCTGGAATGGGCCATGGAAGAATTGGAGAGGGCCAAGGAAGAAATAGAGAGGGCCACGTTGGAGAACCTGAAATTAAAAGAAGAGATGGCGAGGATGAAGGGGGAGGCGGGACAAGGAAAGCCAGTGTCTGACGAAAATTCAAGCGAGTGGAAGGTTGTAAGGAGAGGGAAGACCAAACTGGTGATGAAGAAACACACCAAGGATACGTCAACAACATCAGCAGCTAAGGGTACCAACTCGTTCAGTCCCTTGATAGACGAATTGGACATTAGTACAGTCAGGGACAGGGCTGACAAGGAAGGTATAAAAACTTTAATTGTTGGTGACTCACAGGTAAGGTACTTGGACAGGGCTTTTTGTGGTAAAAACAAAACTAGGATAAGGGTGTGTTTGCCAGGAGCTGGGGTGGGGGATATAATTGACAGGATGGACAATATCTTGTCTGGTAATAGGAACAAACCCATTATCTGCCTCAGTGCAGGAGGCAATGATATTGGCCGGAATAGGAGCGAGGAGCTTCTTGATAAGTTCAAGGCAGCTATAGATCGTATTAGGACTAAGGGAGGGATCCCTATCATATGCAGTGTCCTGCCTAGAAGGAGAGTTGGCAGTGAATGGTTGTCAAGGGCAGTTGGTGTCAACGACCGTCTTGACAGATATTGCAAGTCAATATCAGTCTCATTCATTGACAACTGGGACAAATTCTACGGCAGAAGGGACCTTTATGCTAGGGATGGGGTGCACCTGTCTAGGGATGGAGTAGCAATCCTGGCTGGGTCTCTAGAGGGGGCAGTTCAAAAGATATCGAAGTCTTTAAACTGCTAGGAGAACATATGAGCACGGGGGTGGAGGAGAATGCAGTGGGAGTGGGTAAACAAAGTGAAAGATTACAGGGAAATAGTGTTAGGAATGATGACAAAACTAAATTAGACAGGGAGTTTAAAACTAAACGCGGTAAAAGGAGGACTCAGAACACGACTAACTTAAATGTATACTACGCGAACAGTAGAAGCATGAGAAACAAAATGAATGATATTAGGGCCTTGGTATGTACCGAAAAAATCGATATAATAGCATTCACTGAAACATGGATCAACCTAGACTCACGTGAGTTACCGGTCGAATACCAAATTGCGGGTTACAAATTGTTCCATACCGATAGGCAGACCAGGAAAGGAGGCGGAGTAGCAATCTATGTTAGGGATAATCTGAAGTGTGAAATAAATAAGGAAATAAAAACTGAGCGGATACAGAAACAATTTGGATAGAATTAATCGACGGTAGGGAAAAATTAATCACAGTAGTAATATATAGACCTCCCAATCTTGATAGAGTCAATGAGCGACTTATCTGGGATGAAATGCGCAGGGCTTCCATACACAACAAAGTCTGTATAGTAGGCGACTTTAACCTTGGCCAAATAGATTGGACTGACCTCATGGGTAACTCAGAATCAGAGGATTTTCTCGAGATGATCCAGGACTGTTTCCTAAGTCAACATACAACCGAACCCACCCGGGGTAATAATATACTCGATTCAGTTCTGTCAAACAGAGAAAACCTCATTAGCAATGTCGAGGTAGGGAACGAACTTGCAAACAGCGATCACAAAGAAATTAGATTCCAGTTAGATTTTCAGGGCAGACGTAAGGAAAATTCCACTAAAGTACCAGATTTCAGAAGGGCAAACTTTGACAGTTTAATGAGGCAGCTGGGAGAGGGGGTGTCGGGCTTGGCCGTGAACCTGACAGATGACACCGACCTGATAACGAGATCTGAGATTGCCGAGTTCCACCACAATTTAAATAATAAGTTACTTAATGCACAAAGGCAGAACATACCATACAAAAAACTCAAATCAGACAACAATGACCCTAGATGGATAAATAATTATTTAAAGAACATCATTGGCCAAAGGAAAGCTTTAGGTAGAAGGATAAATCGTGGAGAAATTTACCTCCGGGATTATTATAAGGTATTGGCAAGTAGGGTTAAAACCGAGATAAGGAAAGCCAAGAGGAATAATGAGGTAAGGATAGCAAGGGAGGCAAAGACAAACCCCAAAGGATTCTACCAAATGTATCAAACAAAAACATGAGAAAAGATTGGACCAATGCGGTCAGATACCGGCGAGCTCACTGATAATGACAGAGAAATGAGCAATAATTTGAATAAATATTTTTCAACAGTTTTCACCACCGAAAATTTAAACATGATACCCGAGGCACCGACTCTATTCAGAGATAGTGAAGAAAACAAATTAAGCGAGATAGTAG